AGAGTGCAATGCTCCCAAGCTGAGATTATCAACAGAGAGATTGAGTTGAGAAGTTGAGAGAGAGAGAGAGATGGTGGTGAGGAAAGTGGGTAAGTATGAGGTTGGGAGGACGATCGGAGAAGGGACCTTCGCCAAGGTGAAGTTTGCGCAGAACACTGAGACGGGTGAGAGTGTCGCCATGAAAGTGCTGGATCGCACTACCATCATCAAGCACAAGATGGTCGACCAGGTACTCTCAATTTCCCCTAATTTGTACCCTCCAAGATGCTCAATTTACTTGCTTTGCATGCTAATTGTGAATTTTAATGGGTTCTTAAATTTACCCACTTTCTGATTTAGCATGGTTTTGGTTTGGTATTGGCCTAATTACCTGTAATCTCGGACTTCAGGATGATCCAGTTTCCATTTTGGGTTTTTTTCTTAATAAAAATTTGATCTTTGTGATGCAGATCAAGAGAGAAATATCTATAATGAAGCTTGTCAGGCATCCCTATGTTGTTCGTCTGCATGAGGTATGTGATATCTTTAATCTTAGCTGCAAAAACTTTCTACAAATTGTTAGTTTTGATGTCACTGACTTTATGATGTTGTTTTCTGTAGGTTCTAGCTAGCCGTACTAAGATTTATATAATTTTAGAGTTCATTACCGGTGGTGAATTGTTCGATAAGATTGTAAGTAGTAGTCTAACTTCAAATCCCACTGCTTAATTTGGACAATTAATTTATCTGAGGAAGCGGTAATGTTAACTGTTAAAACAATGGTTGTTCAGGTTCATCACGGACGTCTTAGTGAAGGTGAAGCCAGGCGATACTTCCACCAGCTAATTGATGGGGTCGATTATTGCCACAGCAAGGGAGTATATCACAGAGACTTAAAGGTCTTCCTTTTGTAGCATCTAGCAAGTTATTGTGATTGTTTCTTTTTCTTTCATGAAATTCTTATCGTTGTTTTTGTGCAGCCGGAAAATCTGTTGCTTGATTCTCTAGGAAATTTAAAAATTTCAGATTTTGGTCTGAGTGCATTGCCTGAACAAGTAAGATTCTTGTCTCATTTTGGACATTATTACAGTTGAGAGATTTAGTATTTGTAGGGATATCAATTTATGATGTTTGCATGTAGGGAGTCAGCCTCCTTCGAACGACCTGTGGGACCCCGAACTATGTAGCACCTGAGGTACGGACAAAATTAGTCAGCTTCTGAGTTAAATTTGACCGTTTCTCGACTACGAATAGTATTTATTTCATGCATCTGCTTTGTTTTATATATTTTTTAAATTGTTTTCATTTACTGCTCTAGGTACTTAGTCACAAGGGGTATGATGGTGCCGTGGCAGACGTTTGGTCCTGTGGGGTCATCCTTTATGTTCTGATGGCAGGTTATCTTCCATTTGATGAGCTTGACCTCACCACACTATATAGTAAGGCATGAACCTCTTTCATGTTTACTATTTTGGGATTATTAACTTTGAACAGAAGATTTCTTAATTGATATTTTGGATCTATTTGTGTAAATGTGAAAAGTAGTATCCCTAGTGAACGAACCTTTTAATAGCTTTTCGTAAAAATATTTTAAAATTTAATAGCTCAATTACTACTTCTTAATTGATAATATAACATTGAAAGGGTTATCAAGCTGTCATTTAGACTTTTGTATTTGGTTGTGAAGTAAAGTGAAAATGCTGTCTCTGTTCTTTCAATGCCAGACCCCCCTTGACGCTATTTTTAGGTGCAGTTTCTAGTGGATCCTAGGCTTGATTGTTGGTTGTCTAGTTTTACCCCTGCCTCAATATTTTACTACGTCTGATGTCTACTTTTCAGTAAGAATATTGAAGTGTGATATAAGGATCATTGTTAATATTAAGTCATTATCATTTATTTTCTGCAGATTGAGAAAGCAGAGTTCTCATGCCCATCTTGGTTTCCAGTGGGAGCAAAATCCTTGATTCATAGAATTCTAGATCCGAACCCTGAAACTGTAAGTATTTGCTAGGTTGGAAGACATTGGTCATTTATATGCATAAAGTGCACATTCTCAGGCTTCAATATCAATAACAAGGGCACAATCAGAAACGTTGGTGCCATGTTTTTATTGGTTCATATTACACTTGGGATGGAATAACATGTAACCATCCAACATGAGGAGGAGGTGCTTAACAAAAAAAATGTCAAAAAGAGTAGATATTTTCTTTATAAGTACCAAGGCATGTGCTTTCTGTAATTGGAAACCTGACTCGAGGTCTGTTTGGTAATTGACCCAACCTTTAAACCTCTGCTGAGAATTTGAAATTTCTCTTTTTGTTTGTCGCCTTTTTCATTTCTATATCTTTTTCCCTACCCTTATTCAGTGTATTTGTCACATGGAAGGAGAGAGGTACTTTTAATTGAAGTCTAAGGTTGTGATATTTGTTTAAAACTTAAGTGCCTGTTTTGAGTTACTACAGGGAAGCTAAGCCTATGCAGGGTAGACTGTCAGATTTCAGATAGAAATCACCTTTAGGATTCTGCCTCTCATTCTTTGTTCTCTGATTCATTCAAATATTTTGGTTATGGTTGTTTCTGAAAAGTTTCTCTGTGTGCAGCGTATTACAATTGAGCAGATCAGAGATCATGAGTGGTTTCAGAAAAATTATGTGCCTGTCAGATCGTTTGAATATGAAGATGTAAATCTGGATGATGTAAATGCTGTTTTTGATGATGCCGACTCTGAGGTTGGTAGGGCTTTGAGAAGCTACATTTATTTTTTTAGATTGACAACACAATTAACTTTCCTGTTATTTATGATTTATAGCAGGAACAAAGGGTTAGTGAGCACCGTGGCAATGAAGACATGGGTCCTTTAGTTCTTAATGCATTTGACTTAATAATTCTATCTCAAGGCTTAAACCTAGCAACAATGTTTGACCGTGGCAAGGTAAGACAGTAACTTATTAATTATTCTCCCGTTATCTTTATCCTTTAGCTATTCATTAAACCATATTAATAGTTTTTTATTTTGGACATTAATGGTAATATTAAAGGTACCCTAACACCCTAAAAGCTGCTTATCTTATACTCTTTTATCTCCGTTTCCCTTCATTCTGTCAGAAAAGCATCACAATCGAACTTTTAATTGATAATTCAGTATTTGAACACCATGCCCTTCGCTGCATTTTTGTAAATATAAGTTTGCCTGAGGTAGTATACTTATGTTATGTCCATTTCCTACTTAAGTACTTCTATGATGTGTTAATTTCTTTCCCTCAATAGGATTCGATGAAATATCAGACGCGCTTTGTTTCGCAAAAGCCAGCAAAGGTTGTATTATCCAGTATGGAGGTTGTTGCTCAATCAATGGGTTTCAAGACACACATTCGCAACTATAAGGTAATGGGATCCGTAGTAGTATATACTTTTGGTGCTTATCATCATATATACAAGTCTTTACTTTCATTTCATTTGCTATTTAATATGTGTGTGCGAGCACATGCGTGTGATGTTCATTTTGGGTGGAGGATGGTCCTGGATAGCAGTACTTGAAAACTCAACAACTAAACAGACGTATTTTCTATTCAGATGAGAGTGGAGGGTCTTTCAGCAAATAAGACTTCTCATTTCTCCATCATTCTTGAAGTAAGCTTTCACTCCTCATGCCTCACTGAACTGAAGCCACCCCCTGAGTATTTTATTAAACTGATTATTTTTTAATATTTTTATTGGCTGAAGATTTTTGAAGTTGCACCAACCTATTACATGGTAGACATTCAGAAAGCTGCTGGAGATGCTAGTGAATTCCTCAAGGTTAGTTTTCAGTTTGCTTCTAACAATTTTTGCTTGATATCATGACATGGTAGCTTGTGTCTGTTTGTATGTAGAAGGGTATGGTTTGTTTTTCCCTTTTCCATTTGCCCCTTTAGTTTCTGATTCGAATGAATGTGCTACTGTTCTACAGTTTTACAAGAACTTCTGTAGCAATCTTGAGGATATCATCTGGAAACCGCCTACTGAGTCTAGCAAATCAAGGGTCAGCAAGAGTAAAAGTAAAAAGCGTTGATCTCATTCACGTACGTCATCTGCTTTTGGTCCAGTGTCAGTGCTTGACATGTAGTTTGCAACGGTTTTGACCTTTGAGGGCATGGGGTGTGAAAGTTATAGTCGCAGTTTACCTAATCCCTCCTGGAATCTCCTTCCCTATGACACTGCTGCCCCTGAAAGAGGGAAAGAAAGAATCCAGAAGGAAAAAGAATATTAGATAGATGTATTTATTTTTGTTTGTAGTGTGTAAAGTTTTACTGTGTTAATATTTTCTCCTTGCTTTGTTTAGTAAACTCTCGTTTCGTATATTCTGCACCCTGAAATTGTTGCTTTTATACCACCTATAGTTATGGCTGGAAATGTGGATGTCATCAAGGATACAGTGGGACAAGAATTCTCGCCAGGAAAGAGACGAAACAGTGACGTTCGAGTTTCATGGAATTTAGGACAAGAACATTCTCGGTAACTAGGTCCAGACTCTAGTTAGCATAAATATTTAACCAGGTCCATTGCAAGCAAAGTGGAATTTATGAAGCTTAAGTCGTGAGTATATCCTGCTGTAGGGGAAAGTCATAGGACTTTTTTCAGGGCGCCGATATCAAAAGTTGTACAAGAAGTCAATTAAGAAGTAATGTAGTTAGGAAACACAGATGGAGGAGCGCATGGCGGCTTTTCTAGAGTATCAATAACATAATAGATTCTAAAATGGTTTATAGATTGAATTCAAGCAGTGTTTGTAAAAATAAAAACATAAAAATTAAGGAAAGAGAGATAAAATATCGAAAAACAGAACCCTGTAAAACCAAACGTGTTTGATGAATCTTCTTCTTGCAGATATTCTGTACACATGAATATGCAAGTTATTTGTTTTTGTTTGCTCAAAATGGTGTGCTCGCATCTAATTTATCCAGCATTTTTTGATCTACAACAAACAAGATTAGCTCACATCTACGAGCCTCATACATAACATAAATTTTTTTTGGTGAATATTGACCAACAGACAACATATAAATTCAGTCAAATCCTTCAAAGTGTCTCACAACTACCAACTGGGATTGTGACTATATTCAAGGATCACTTGAACGGCCAGCTCTTACAGCCTGCCGTATAAGTGACTTCACTCACCAAAAGCACCAAGTTTTAGCCCGAAGATCCTCCCATTCCAAACGGGTTATGCGAGGTTTAACTGTGCTATAAAGATCCTCCCATTCCAATGATGGATCAAACTAGCATGAACTTTTCAACCTCGACAGATTGAAGAACTCGGGACTTTTTCCCACTTTTTCATACGAAAGATATCAAAGATGACCTCCAAAATCCCCACATGAACATGTTCCGTTCACAAATTTGTGGAGGCACTTGCTGTCTCGAATGACTATTTCCCTACCAGTCAGTGTTGATAGAAACTTCACAAAATTATGGCAATCTCTGCACATAATGAGACTTTTGATGACCCGAATTGGCGCAGCATTTGGTGTGTTCAACAATCCAAAAGCAATTGCCAACCTTTCACTGTGATAAGCAGTATAAGACAACGTCTGTTCTTCATCCTCATCGATTACTTCCAAACTTTCTAGTGAGTCATATCCAAGGCTCTTGACTTGATCAATCAAACTTTCTACGAATTTGTGTGTATCTACACTGTAAGGATGAGATTTATCATTGGGTTTAAATGAAAAGACCTTGTCTTTAATGCTAATCCAGCTCCAGTCCCTTAGTTTCCCAAGCTTCTCCTCTTTCATCATTTTTCTCACCTTAGAAACATCCTTCCATCTTCCTGCAGAGAGGTACATATTCAACAACAAGACATAAGTCTCAGTATCTTTTGGTTTGAGCTCGAGCAACTTCTCAGCAGCATAAAATCCCAATTCAAAATTCCCATGACTTCTACACCCTGCAACCAAGATGGACCATATAAACTCATTTGGTGCAGGATCCATTTTCTTGACAAGAGCAAAGGCTTCTTCTAACCGACCCAACCGCATGTACATATCAATCAGGCAGGCAAAATGGTCCAACACAGGCTTAATCCTATAGTCCTTTTTCATCATCTCAAAGAAACCAAGTGCTTCATTGACCATCCCAGCCTGGCTACAAGCCGAGAGAACACTCACAAAAGTAACCTGATTTGGTCTAACTCCTGCAATTCTCATATCCTCAAAGAGCTGCAGTGCTTGCTGAGTCTTCCCATGCTGTGCAAAACCTGCGATCATAGTAGTCCATGATATCAAAGTTCTGGTAGACATTTCCACGAAAGCTTTGCTTGCTTTTTCGATGCTTCCACATTTATTGTACATATTGACTAAGGCAGTTCCTACTACCCTATCTGAAAGAAACCCAGATTTAATGGTCTGAGCATGAATCTGTTCTCCCTGTTGTAAGGCCACTAAACTACTACATATAG